TATATTCAAGAAATGTAAGTTACACAAAAAATACATTGAAAAAAACTGTGTTCTCCAAGGGTCTGCGTGACCTGTTTACTTGCATCCCCGCAACAGAATCAATTACCCAACACTAAAAATTTACGTTGTAGAGATGCACCAAAGCCAACATTTTGCAAGTGAAGCAAATTTTCAAGTTGATGAAATAACTGGCAAACAAAAACGGGTTAGGTAAGGCAGGATTAGCTACGATGGGATAGCTGGTGGTGTATCTTAGAGTTTGTTAGGCTGGCAATATCAGCAAATCAGATTTAACAACAAAACAGGCGCAACCCACAGGTCCCTCTATCTCGATATTGAAATCTTAGATGTACCTAGTTTACCTGACTTGTCCATTCATTAAATGCTGCTTGAAGTCGCTAAATCGAATCGAGTTAAATTATAAAGATGTTATATAAAGCTTCGCCTATAGAAATCTGTCAATTGGTCCTTTTTTTCTTTATCTTTATATCGGATGATTTGAGCTTGGCAGGCTGCGTTGGAAAGCTAATTTTCAGGCAAGGATATAACTAACAAAGGATATATAAAACGAAGTAAGCAGTATGAGATCTCTTTCATAGACTGTACACATCTTTATAACGCGCGTGTAAAATTTTACCGAGAATATTTTACTACCAGTTAGTCGAATTTTTGATTGCGTTTTGTAGATTTATTTCCTATGGAAGCTGCTCCTAGCTCGTGTAGATTTCCTATTGTAACACCCCTGCAAAGGAGAAGCACACGTAAACACTAGCGAGTTAAATACGAATAGTTCAATGTATAAGTGATACGTTTTAAATTTATTTCTGAATCAGCTATGGTTAACCATATATTTTCCACTACATGGGACATTTTCGTTGTGCCACAAGACAAGAGCATCATAAAGCAACTCATAATATTTGTTAGTAATTCGTTATTAATAAACTAGCAAGGCCGTTGATTATTTAACTCAATGTATTTAGCTACGGAGGATTTCGAAGATGCAAATTTGACAAACAATTTTTTCCCCAAGTGCAGTAAATTTTTCCATTTCTATATTACTTTATTTGAGCAGAAAGAGATATCATAATTCAACCTCAAATTGAGATAAAGAATCTGGCGAAATTTCCTCTCTTCGAGAAAATTCCATCTAATTGGTGTTAATAGTTGAGAAATTCACTTATAGGTTAATCGCAATAGGACCTATTTGCCACTTCTTACTTTGTCACAAAGTTTTCATTCTCATATCTCCCGCATAAAAAAAACTAACGTTCATATAAGCAATCATTTCGAGTCCGTCATTTACGAAGTTGTACCTTGCAATTGTCTCCATAGTCATAGAAAAATCTTTTCTCAAGTAAGCTGCGATCCCTTCCTTCGTGACTTCTCTAGCAAAGGCCGCTGAGTCAATGAACTCTGGTTTCTAAAACAGTTAACTGTAATGAAAAGAAAAGTGAAACAATGTACTTTGATTGTGAATATAGTGTACTGGCCAACATAGGATCTGGAAATAGCATTCGTAGTTCGGTTTCTTGTAGATACCGCTTGATGGCGCTACATGTCTCTTGGCAATTTTCGCTGACAGTGTACACCCTTGATTACGTTACTGTCCGTGATTTGTTTCATAAATAGATATGCACAGTTTTATAGGTGGACTATTCGTGTTCACAAATATTGCTGCTGTGCAGCCGAGTGATCGATGAATCTTTTGCTATCAATAGATAGTCAATTTTAGCTGTTATTTTGTTTTTTTTCAAGGGAAGTTTTACACTGTTCTGCGGATATTCTCAGATCTCTCCTCAGCAGGGCTCAGAAGCAGGCCTTTCACTGTGGGGTGCAGCGTGTGTCTAATGAAGAGTGGGAAAGCTTAATTATCAACAAGTTGTTCAGTCCAAGACCAAATCAACGCAAAGGCTCATTATATAGGTTTATGAGAAATTTTCGCATACAGCCTGCAAAAATTAGTTAGTTGTAAGAAGGTAATTGCCAAAATTGTACAGTAAAGCGCCTGAGGCGCCATAGAGAAGCATATCTACGCGAATAGGGCAGCAAGAAGGCTGCTAGCTAGGCATGATGTCAACAAACTTTGAAGGAACTCCAGATTTACATTATACGAATCTAGCATAACTTAAAGAGAACGATAGACCCACAATCCCACCTACGATTTTCTCCTTCTACGATCCTACGATTTTGAAATATAATTAGTGAATTCGGAATATATGAATTTACAACACACTCATTCATTATAGGAGAATAGAGATCCTTTAGCGCATAATTAAGTGATATACTGTTACCATTGCAATCAGAGATATGCTTTTCTTCGTATTTTTACATATACGCTTGGGAGGGTATAGACTGTGGTTGATTTCAAAAGCTGTCGATGCCTGACCCGTTAGCTTTGCCAGATATAATAAACGCGTAGAATATAAATAAGGCACAATTTTTTTTTATTTTACAATATTTTCTATAGTTTATTCATTCACTGAAAATCGTTGCGATTCGAATTTGAGGATTTTATTCTAGTATTTTTTTTTTTTTTTTCTGTAAAAGATTCGGCATGATATACGAATGATAGTGGCATCATCAGCTACTTTTTTTAAATACAGTCACCGGTGTAAGTAAGCTTCAACAGCTAAATTAGGATAACGAGAAAGGTGATAAGAAAAGGGTTTCTAAATTATTTCTCGAATGGATACTTCACAGATGACAAATCTACTGTGATTGTCATCTTGTCGTACCGTCATTTTGTTATCGAGGTCTACAAACATACTGAATCCCACCAAATCAATCGATCTAATTATTAATAGGTCAATTCATATTCAATCAAATCGTCCCGATTCTTCAATCGTCATTCTCTTAAATCCAGTGATGTTGGGGCAACGTGGTAGT